AAAAAAAAAAAAAAAAGAAATGGTCTCTTGCCTTTGATATCTTCCAAACGAACCGCAGCGTACTTGTTAATGATATTCGCAACGCCGACCATTTCGTCGAACCAATCCTCGATAGTGGCATTTCTCGACCACCATTCTTCTGGTCCCCGATGCCTGTGCAATTGAAACGATTAACGCACGCGTTACTTTCGGTCTGTCTCTTGCTCGGTTCTAAAAAGAATCTTTACGTGACAGAGTGCGCGGCAATTTCGTGCCCGATGTTCCACAGATATTGCACGTCCCTGTAATTGGTGTACTGATGGCTGATGTAGAAAGTACCTCGAGCGGGGCATCCATTCGGGTTTTTCTTATCGTTTGAAAAAATTTCTGAAAGCAAGAGCAGAAAGTATAGTAGACACGCGTGCGACGTCAACTTTCTCTAGACGAAAGTATTATTGTACATATTTGGTTGCGCCTACTAGAGAAAAGCTCGAAATTCTCCGCGTTCACAGCGTCGTCGAAGGTAACTGTTATCATCTGCGGCACCATCGACGCCGTCAAGTTGCCAGGAACTTGCGTTCCGTCCGAGGAGCACCAACAGTTGGGCAGTCGGCATTCCTCCGGATTGCAAAGCACCGCGCCATTTGGATCGTCTTGAACATCTGCGACGAAATCGTTCGTTAACACTTATACAACTTACTATACGCAACATTCACTGGATACAACTTACTATATACCACACTTGATCTTTACTATATACAACACTTTATCAGCACTTGATCCAACCTGCTATATACGACATTTATCAACACTTAATCCAACTTGGAAAATTCGTGGTCCCTTACCGCACCAGGCTTCGTCGGAACCATCCGGACAATCGACGCTTCCGTCGCAAAAGTACGTAGCCGGGAAACAGGTACCATCGCCGCAAGCCAAATGCTTTTCACCGCAGTCACCGTCCTCGAGGAGCGGCCTCGGTGGTTGCGACTCTGCAAAACGCTTGAAGAATTTCCAATCACCATCCGACGCGATGATTTCTATCGCCTGGCTGACTGACTTCCGTCTACATTCTCTCCCAACATCTTAACACTGTACAAGCCGTGATTGTGCGTCGTTTGTAAAATCACAGACAAGCTATATGATCATATACCTCGCCTGTGGTAAAATAGTGGTTAGCAGCCGATAGATGACGCACTTTTCCAATTCGAACGTTCGTTTTAAAATACATTAAACCCATTCGCGCGGCAGCCATTATGTATATTTTGTGGACAAAATGCACTTGGGCAATGCAGTGCAGAAATGATGCAAAAAATACTGAAAAGCTGACTAGATGATATGGCGGTATGGTAGTAAAGAGAAAAATGAAAAATAT